TGTGACTGAGTATATCTAATGTACTGTGTGACTTAGTATATCTAATGTACAGTGTGACTGAGTATATCTAATATACTGTGTGTCTGAGTATATCTAAAATACTGTGTGACTAAGTATATCTAATGTACAGTGTGTCTGAGTATATCTAATGTACAGTGTGACTGAGTATATCTAATGTACTGTGTGACTGAGTATATCTAATATACTGTATGACTGAGTATATCTAATGTACAGTGTGACTGAGTATATCTAATGTACAGTGTGTCTGAGTATGTCTAATGTACAGTGTGACTGAGTATATCTAATGTACTGTGTGACTGAGTATATTTAATGTACCGTGTGACTGAGTATATCTAATATACTGTGTGACTGAGTATATCTAATGTACAGTGTGACTGAGTATATCTAATATACTGTGTGACTGAGTATATCTAATGTATATCTAATATACTGTGTGACTGAGTATATCTAATGTACTGTGTGACTGAGTATATCTAATATACTGTGTGACTGAGTATATCTAATGTACTGTGTGACTGAGTATATCTAATATACTGTGTGACTGAGTATATCTAATATACTGTGTGACTGAGTATATCTAATGTACTGTGTGACTGAGTATATCTAATATACTGTGTGACTGAGTATATCTAATATACTGTGTGACTGAGTATATCTAATGTACAGTGTGACTAAGTATATCTAATGTACAGTGTGTCTGAGTATATCTAATGTACTGTGTGACTGAGTATATTTAATGTACCGTGTAACTGAGTATATCTAATGTACTGTGTGACTGAGTATATCTAATATACTGTGTGACTGAGTATATCTAATGTCTATTCTATAACTGGGAATATATAATATACTTTGAGACTGGGAAAACTGATATTTAGTGCCAGTTATTATCACTTGAATGCTCTTTGAACTTCGTGTACCGTATACAAGTTGGAATAATTTTTATTGTGGTATATTAATATATGTACGCTTTAACCACTAGGCTAACTTACCGCCCCTTGTTCCTTTGTAAGCGGAGTACATTGAAAATAATAGGAGAGCGCTCAGCCAGTCGGAAAACGATATATATGTGTGAGGTTAGATACAGGTATGTGAAGCAGTGCTGAATCAATGAAGACACACTTACTGGTATCGGTGTATGTTATCTTTAGCTTAAACTTAGAATGCAAAGCATAATGTGTGCATAGGGCTACTACACTATTTGTGAAATTACTTAAATTTCTAAATTAATCCATTTGTATGTTAGGTTCATCAAGATGGACTGATATTCTGTCATCGTGAACAGTTACGCGTATGTGACATTTGTTTCAATGCTAATCACCTTTACCTCAACTTGGCATTGATGTCAGATTCCAAGCCTGTTCTTTGTACCTTGAATTATTTTGCATCGTTATAGATATTCATTTTTCGTGGATATAACTTGGATTAGTCTATGTAAATGCAAACTTTCTCGCCATTTCGAGCAGCCCGGAGAAAATGTTTAATTCCATGTCGATAGTACTAGTACTGTTTTCTCCAGCCATTTTCCAGTTTTGCCGTTTAGAGTTATCTGCCCATTGTGACACGTGACCGCGGGCATGACAACACGTAAACAATAGCTGTCAGGTTGATGTGCCGTTTGTTTTGTCGAAAGACGATATTGTTTACCTTTGGTCTACGATCATGATTTGAAGAAAATATCAAGTATGTTCTCATCCAAGACTTTACCACAGTTGAAGATGTATTTAAAAGATCGTGGTGTGACATTTACAGGCTACATTCGTCGCGAATTGATCACCTCGTGCGAGTGTGTTGCCAGCTTGGATTTGCCCGTCTTCCAGGATGTTTCCGATGTAAGCTACACATCCCAAACACTCTCACACCTGAACATTAACTGTGACCCTTTCCTTTTACAAACAATTTGTCACAATGTCCAGAAATTGGTATATATGACGTATTTAATTACTTGGTGTCGTTCAGGCCCGATTATGACAGAAGGAAGCATCGCGCCTACAAGTCTTTTCCAGACTATCGCTTGTTTCCTTATGGGCATGTCAACAGTGTGGATTATGTTGATGCTACTGACACCATTGGAATTTTCAAAGCGTCTGTGAAGCCAACACAAAGGGACAAGACCTACCTAAAGTCCGAGTTCTACAACCTATGGATTGCTGTGGACAAAATTCTTGTTGACATTAAGAGCGCTTACTGTCAGTGTCCTGGAGGGTAAGTTAGCTTGTTGGCATTAAACACTGAAAAGGTCTAAAGCTCCTAATGATGTTGAAATTAAATGGATTGCCTGTCTTTGATTCCAGTGCACAAAAGTAAAAAATATTAAATATCATTAAAGCAAAATTCCCCAAGAGAAAAAAAAGAGAAACAACCAGTTCCAAATTCTTGGAAACAATGCGCATTTAAATCCGTGATGTTTCTGTGGATCTTAGCCAATATTTATACAATTCTAATATTTATGAAGACCTATTCATAATACTGTGAAAGCAGTTGTCGATGTTGCTCATGCATAAGTTACATGTACAATGTCTGTTAAAATAACCCTTTGTCTTGAAAAAATAATTATGTATATCTTTTTTCACATATTTCAGATCTGATGGGACCTGCCGACATATAGCAGCAACACTTTTTGATATTGAAGCTTTTGAGAAAAAAAGCGTGACTGATGGCCCATCCCTATGGACCAAGCGACCAAGAAATCATGATGAGCCTGTGCCACTGGGTCACCTAAAAGTCAAGAAAATCAGGTACATAAAGAAAAACAAAAGAAAATGTGGGAATTTTCAGTACATTAGTCTGCAAGTAGTTAATATTCCACCTTAAAATCTGGTTTTAAATAAATCACAAACAACATGAAATAGATGGGATATATTTTTATTTTGCTGTACAAATGACCCATCTAAAATGTGTTGCAGCTATGGACAAACACTTTCAGAGACGAATAGTGACCTTGGCCAGGAGAATTTTGATCCTCGACCAATAAGTGACTGATCAAATCCATCACTTGAACAGATGGCCAGTTTTGCAGCCTCCCTGCACCAGGTTGGAAAGACTTAAATATTCCCTATTTCAGTTTTACAACATGCAACAGTCATTATATAGTTAAAACATGAAAATGTTAAATATTCATATAAAGGTTTTTTGAAAAGGTGTTTTCAATGCAGATTGTTTTACTTTCAAACAATCATAAAAGCAATGAATATCTATCTGTAAAAGAATAGACTCAATACATACATGCCTTCATGGGATGACACTTCCTACTTCAAACTTGGAATTATGACAGAAAAGGACAACTGTGAATGTTCATCACCAGTTGTAACCCAAATAAATGATATTTATTTGCAGAGAACTTATGAAACACTTTCATAATTGCAGATAAATCCTAATGCTTGTGCCTTGGAGAGCCTCCTTGATCCCACTTACACAGAGACTCAAGCAACTAAAATTAGTGAGGAATGTGCTGCCATGTCCCTGATCTACAAACTAGAGGCCCTTGACTTGCCTCCAGATTCTGACATATCTGAGGATGTAATGAATAGACTCAGATACTGTTGTGATGACATTACTCACATTGAACATGAAACCACAGGGCAGAGTGAGAATCCTACATGGCCAGTTATGAGAAAAAGCATGGTGACCACTTCCAATTTTAAACGTGTTTGCACCAGGGCAGACTCTTTTGGAAAAAACAATACCATTGATTGTTCAAAGTTAGTGAAATGTTTGCTCCATGACAGTCTTAGCATTGAAAATAGCAATGTACCATCTTCTATTGTGTGGGGTAGAAAAAAAGAAAGCAAGGCCAAAGAAATGTATAAACAGATTGAAAGTAGGAGACATAAAAAGTTATCAGTGAAAATCAAAGGTTTATTGATTGATAAAGAAAATCCTTTCCTTGGTACTTCAGTGGATGGTTCAGTTGAATGTCAATGCAAAGAAAATCATCAAAACAAATTATTAGAAATTAAATGTCCATGGGCTTTGGGAGACTGTGATCCTAAAACTGCTGCACAATGTAGGGGATGTTACCTGAAAGATGGTAATTGTCATCTTAAAGATGATAGTGATTATTATTATCAAATTTAAGGCCAATTAGGTATATATAGATTTCAGCCCTGTGATTTGGTAATATACACAAGGAAAGGTATACATGTTATTAATGTACCTTTTCATGAACAGTTCTTTGAGTCTATGATTAGAAAAATCAAAAATATTTATGTAAAAAAATTACTTCCTTCAATATTGCAGGCTTTAAGCAAGTAAAATAGATGAAGATGTTTGTCAGCTTTGGCTGAAACTTCCTGGTTACGGTATTGAGATATTTCTTCTGAGTGACTTGGACATCTATTTAGCAAGAACATTGTCCAAGTTACACAGTGAAGCTGCTACATTTACACACTGACAAAGAGAACCTTTTAATTTCAAAGGAATAACACCCTGTAATAATTTATATTCTTTTAGTCTCCCAATAGCTCTCTCCACATGTATTCTAGCATTTGCTCTTCTCCTAGTTTTAGTAACTACTACTGAACTGTGTTGTCTCCCATGAGAAAATGGTGGTATGTTGAGAGTTGTCTTTCTAAAGGCTAATAGATCTCTAATTAAAAAACCTCTATCAGTCATGATGTCATCATGTTCAGAGAGTAAATCTAAGAAACCAGATTGTTGAACTATCTTCCTATCCGAAATGCTGCCTGACCACAACTTTGAAACAAAAGTTAATGAACCTTTTGGACAGCAAGCAACTAAACACTTTAAAGTATTTCAATGTTTATAAGATGACCATGTTACTCTCTGGCTTGAAGGAATACTCGTTTTTTTTAAGTAGAAATTCTGTACAATCAATAACTGCTTTGGTATTTGGAAAATATTTAAAACATTTAGGAAGATTATGTTTCACCTGTCTTGTGGAAGGCCATTTGATAAGAAAACATAATTCTTTGCACATCAGATTGACCCATGTGTTGAAAAATTCTACTACTGTGAGAATTTTAAACACCAAACAAGTCAGACAACTGTTCCACATCATTAGCTCGTCGTAGGCGCATCAGAGTGATGATAAATTCCTCGTACAGAGAGAGAAGTCTTGACGGGTCTCTGCTGGAGTTTTGCTGCAATACAAAAGCAGGAAATTGTACACAACTAAGTTTGAACATTTACAATGTTGTACCATTTACATTCTGAACTGATATTATCAGAAACTATGCATGAAATAATGCACTGGTTACCAGCTAAGATTTAGAGTTGTATTAATTGGAAACTTTTTTATTATCAAGAATATGTCTCAATATTCTGACCATAATAAACTGAAGAGTTAAAAGTTAAAAGAATTTGTACGGAAACGTCGCACTGACGAAATAAAGAACTTGTTATCCATACAGTTCGTCAATATTAGTGAGGATCACAGTAAAAGGGGTGACCAAATCTTATTCTAAAGTATATTCTTAATGAAGGAACTGACAGACTGACTTATCGAGCAGTCGAAGGCACCACTTTTTCAAGTGAAGGATTATGCCATTTCACCTGTAAAGATCTTCTGTTTGTTGGTTCAAATTTGTTGTTCAAGGCAAATACTGAAATTACTGTCATAGTTGCCAATTACGCAATAAAACATTTCAGATTGCCAACAGACAACCAGATCGTCAAAAGACGTACAAAGACTCTCCACTTGCAAACTTTGTTATTACTGCCAGTAGTTTTGATTGGCCGTGGGTGGACCAATCGTGTGAAGCACCGCGATTCGCTGAACAGAGTTACATCCTTGGACATGCCAGAATTCTGCTGTGCCCAATTATGTGGTATCTCAGCTCCCATTCCCGTGCGTGTGGGATCCACGACGTCTTTGACCTGTATCAGTGCAGATGTCAGCTAAAAATGCTTTCATCACGAGCTGGGTTTGAAGTTGTTTCGCACTGTAATGTCAGCAACATGAAGACACAGATTTATTATTCCATATGGGAAGGAGGACACAGGGTAGTACTTTTCCCATTCGTGACAACTGGTGTTGCTACGAGACAAACCGAATAGCCACTCGTGTCCCTGTGGAAGGATTTCATATTGACGCATGAACATCAGAACTACTGTAAACAGGAAATATAACTCTATTCCTGTTTCATTCCAGTGGTACTTAATATCACCAAAGCACACATTGTATCGCCGTTTTTCTATTTGCTTATTTACTCTCAAGAATTAAACCTCTTTGATACAACTAAAAGACGGAGAAAAACATATTTGTTAAAGACATATTATGACGTAATTATTACCAGCTGTTCACCTTATGTTTCTAGTTGTATTTCTAAATAGGGTTGAATAATCACAAATGCGATTTGTTTTATTTTAAAACTTCTACATTAAATCCCAAAGCAGATACTCAAAAATGACTTTAAAATATTTCTCAAACTGAACATTTGCGTTATCTTGCTGTCATACACCAAGTGGAACTTTAAATAAATTTGTTGAGATATATAAGAATGAGCAAAAAAACCCAAACATGTCAGAATGAAAGGATTCAGGCTAAAACGTCACCACAGCAAAACGGCACCTGGCGAAAACGGCACGATTTGGACATAAAGGAACCTCGACTTGGCGAAAACGGCTACAGATCTAAGGCACCAACTAAAATCTTATCGGGAAATTAGTTTGTCATTAGATAAGTCTGATAATTCTGATTGCAGAATGTTTAGACAGTAAATACATCTACTCTGCCGACAGTGATTGGAACGGGCATCCCATAGCCGATAATCGGATTACAGAATGTCCAGATTGCAAATACATCTACTGTGCCAACAGTCATTGGAAAGGGCATCCCAATTTAGCATGAAGACATCGCAACCTTTGATTTTTTAAACAATGAATTATAATGTCATAAACGATTTAATTACTCGGGATTATTTTTATCAAACCAAAACGCACGATTTGATTGTTTTTTTCGTATCTTTACACATAACAAGTATCGAAACGGGGACGAGTCTTCTTGGAGGTTACGGAACGGGTTAAGGACCCCCTGAAACACGTACACACGGGTTTCACACATTAGGGGGCTTCGAACCCGACCTCGGACGGAGTTTCACCACTTGGCTAACCTTCCCCCTCCACGGCCCTGTGTACAGCGGAATTTGTGAAATTTTCAGATTTGAAGTTTATAGAAAAATAGGTTACACAATCCTATAATTGTAAGAAAAGATATAGAATGAAAGCAACGTTTTATTTCCGTGACACCTCCGTCCCCTGCCGCCCTGATGCCCTCTCCGAAGGAAAATATATTCACAACCCAGAGATCAATAACGGTTGGCTAACCAGTAGCTATTCATCACGGGGTCCAGTTTTCCTCTACACTGCCTGGGTGGAGTGAAAGTGAGTGACTTTAGTTTAGCCACACTCAACAATTTTCCAAATTTATGGCGGCGGTCTGTAACTAATCGAGTTTGGACCAGACAATCCAGTGATCAACAGCATGATGATCATTCTGCGCAATTGGGAACCGATGACATGTGTCAACCAAGTCTGCGAGCCTGACCACCTGATCCCGTTAGTCGCCTCTTGCGACAAGCATAGTCGCCTTTTGTGGCAAGCATGGGTTGCTGAAGACTTATTCTACCCCGGATCTTCCCGGGTCCGCCTGGGTGGAACGAGGAAGTAAAGGTTAGTGGGCGTGCTGGCGATATTTGCCAGATGTACACTACAATTCTAACAATGACCAGGTTTAGCGACTGATGGACAAGTGAAGGAACACGGTAGTAAAAGTCTACTAATTCAGACATTGTGTTATGTTCCCTGTGTGTGGTAATCCAGCCATGGTGTTATGTTTCCTGTGTGTGGTAATTCAGACATGATGTTATGTTTCCTGTGTGTGGTAATCCAGCCATGGTGTTATGTTTCCTGTGTGTACTAATTCCGACATGGTGTTATGTTTCCTGTGTGTGGTAATTCAGGCATGGTGTTATGTTCCCTGTGTGTGGTAATGCAGCCTTAGTGCTATGTTTCCTGTGTGTGGTAATTCAGGCATGGTGTTATGTTTCCTGTGTGTGGTAATTCAGACATAGTGTTATGTTTCGTGTGTTAATTCAGACATGGTGTTATGTTTCCTGTGTGTGGTAAATCAGACATGGTGCTATGTTTTCTGTGTGTGGTAATTCAGACATGGTGTTATGTTTCCTGTGTGTGGTAATTAAGCCACGGTGTTATGTTTCCTGTGTGTGGTAATCCAACCATGGTGTTATGTTTCCTGTGTGTGTTAATTCAGACATGGTGTTATGTTTCCTGTGTGTGGTAATCCAGCCATGGTGTTATGTTTCGTGTGTGGTAATTTAGCCATGATGTTATGTTTCCTGTGAGTACTAATTCCGACATGGTGTAATGTTTCCTGTGTATGGTAATTCAGGCATGGTGTTATGTTCCCTGTGTGGTAATCAAGCCATCGTGCTATGTTTCCTGTGTGTGGTAACTCAGCCATGGTGTTATGTTTCCTGTGTGTGGTAATTCAGCCATGGTGTTATGTTTCCTGTGTGTGGTAATTCAGACATGGTGCTATGTTTTCTGTGTGTGGTAATCCAGACATGGTGTTATGTTTTCTGTGTATGGTAATTCAGCCATGGTGTTGTGTTTCCTGTGTGGTAATTCAGCCATGGTGTTATGTTTCCTGTGTGTGGTAATTCAGCCATGGTGTTATGTTTCCTGTGTGTGGTAATCCAGCCATGGTGTTATGTTCCCTGTGTGTGGTAATTCTGACATGGTGTTATGTTTCCTGTGTGTGGTAATACAGCCATGGTGTTATGTTTCCTGTGTGTACTAATTCCGACATGGTGTTATGTTTCCTGTAATTGGTAATTCAGTCATGGTGTTATGTTCCCTGTGTGTGGTAATCCAGCCATCGTGCTATGTTTCCTGTGTGTGGTAATTCAGCCATGGTGTAATGTTTCCTGTGTGTGGTAATTCAGACATAGTGTTATGTTTCGTGTGTGTGTTTATTCAGCCATGGTGTTATGTTTCCTGTGTGTGGTAATTCAGACATGGTGCTATGTTTTCTGTGTGTGGTAATTCAGACATGGTGTTATGTTTTCTGTGTATGGTAATTCAGCCATGGTGTTATGTTTCCTGTGTATGGTAATTCAGGCATGGTGTTATGTTTCCTGTGTGTGGTAATTAAGCCATCGTGTTATGTTTCCTGTGTGTGGTAATGCAACCATGGTGTTATGTTTCCTGTGTGTGGTAATTCAGACATGGTGCTATGTTTTCTGTGTGTGGGAATTCAGACATGGTGCTATGTTTTCTGTGTATGGTAATTCAGCCATGGTGTTATGTTTCCTGTGTGTGGTAATTCAACCACGGTGTTATGTTTCCTGTGTGTGGTAATTAAGCCATGGTGTTATGTTTCCTGTGTGTGGTAATCCAGCCATGGTGTTATGTTTCCTGTGTGTGGTAATTCAGACATGGTGTTATGTTTCCTGTGTGTGGTAATTAAGCCATGGTGTTATGTTTCCTGTGTGTACTAATTCAGACATGGTGTTATGTTTCCTTTGTGTGGTAATTGAGCCATGGTGTTATATTTCCTATGTGTGGTAATTCAGCCATGGTGTTATGTTTCCTGTGTGTGACCTTCCCCTTGCTGCTCATCTCACACAAGTTGGTGTGTAGACCCACAGATACATTACCGACATTACTATGCCTATCATATCTACACATAACAATATTGAGACAGTATGCGTGTATAATGTCAAGTGGCACTGCATTTGTTGGACAATATCTTACCTTGGAATATGACCTCAGTTCCAAGTTATTATAAGGTAAAGGTAATTAGCACTGAAGCAAATGTCACGTGTGCCTGGAATCTTTGCGCAACATCATAGATATCAATATTTCGTCAACATATCTTGGATTCGTCTATTTAAATGCCACCTTTCTCGCCATTTGAACACCTTTGAGAAAATATTTGAACTCCGTGTAAATGATACAGTAGCTGTTTTCCAGCTGAATTTTTAAGTTATCCCATAATAAAGGTTCTGTGTTTTGTTTGATATGATGTTACTACTGCTCGATCCTGAACTGCTTCCAAATGTTTGATCAACGTATTTCCAATAAACAAGGTCAAGTATGCCCTGTTTTATGACCATTCTAAATAACCTATACCTGATACAGCTCTGTTTCCCGAGTGTGTCTGAGAGCAGTAACAGATCACATGGCTATCAGGGTCAAGTTGGATCTTTGGTACCGGAATTCGCATTATAAAGTACACATACCTACATAGCTGTCTGCTCTGATCGTTAGCATGATGCTTGACTCTCCAACTTTGACACTCTGCTTACTTGTGTCTCTTGCCAGATCGGGCTACTGCAAGGCAACAACACAAGCTGCATCAACCTTACCTTGGATATTTTCATATTACACTGAGACCTGGCTTTTTCCTGATGAAAAACCAACACATTGTAAGATAAACCTTCCCGTATCATTGGCTGATGGGGACCTTCGCGGGGTGATTAACTTCTTCGCTGTGACACTGAGCTTGCTGGGTGGGGTCATAATGAAGCCCAACTCCTTGCAGACTGCTGTCTCGAGTGACAACTGGCTACTCCAACACAACTACGCTAGCTGCATCCAGCGGACAGCTCAAACACATCCATTTTAGCAAGCTGATAATTTGATCGTTTGTTGTTCATGACGGCTGGCAGTAACATTCTAGCTGCATACGGCGCAAAATAATTTAGATTGGGCATATATATATATCTAGAGATAGCCGCCTAGAACACTTGTGTTTGTGTGTGCATGAAACTCCGAGTAACAATAATCCAGTGTACTAAACATACCCGCCATATAGCTGGAACATTGCTGAGTGCGGCTTAAAACTAGACTCACTCACTAAACACACAAACAAACAAACAAACAAACAAACAAACAAACACACACAAACACACACACATTATATATATATGACATCTTTCACTGCTTCAGAACCCATGGTTGGCATGGCAAATCAAAGAGGAAGCCATTGGCACATATGCTCAGTAAGTCGCGGGTGTTTCTGTATCAGGAGGAAGCATGACTGCGTTTATTACGTGTTTATCTCGATTTTACAAAAACATTTTTCTTCAATTTTAATAATGTAAGGTGACTATCGGAATGGTTTACCCCTATGGAAAAATAGCTGTTTCTTAGTATTCTCCTTTTTGATAAAGGTAATTAGCACTAAAGCAAATGTTACATACAATGGGCTGTTAACAATGACAGAATATAACTCCACCTTGAGAAACAAAACACATCAATGGATTAATTAACAAATTTAATTAATTTCACAATATAGTGGAGGAACCCCTATGTGCATATTATATTCAACAATTAAGATAAAGGTGACATGCACTGATACCAGTAAGTGTGTCTTCATTGACTATGGCCCTGCTAGGCCTTGCATATGTTACCAGTAGTTCAGATGATATTCAAATGTTACTCAATGACGACAAAGCATCATTTTTCTTCAGTCACAGAGTTCATTAGATATACTTATATTATACACTTGTTATACCCAGCCACACTATATGTTACTCACACTTAGTGAAGCTATACAGTAGGTATACCCAGCCACACAGTACAATACTCACGCTCAATCACACTATACATTACACACCTTGGGATGATATGGTCTTTACAATAGATAGCTGTTTATTTTTCATATCAACCTCTTGTGACGTCATCAGAGGTTGGTTGGCTTTAAATCCAGGATAACGTTACGAGATCAGTCTAAAAAGCCTGACAAACGAATCCTCGTCGGATACATAAAACTTCGGCTACGCCTCAGTTTTGTATCCTCCCTCGGTTAAAGGTACGTCAGGATTTCTTGAATATTACTCTCGGCTTCGCCTCAAGCAATATTGAGTTGAAGTAATATGGAGTTGAAGAAACGACACACTTCATATTTTATTTCTTGATGACTACATTGATGGTGCAATTTTATGCCAAAATGATTCCACCTGACATTGGAGGAACATCACTCGTGCATCTGATCTCGCTCGGGGCTGCGGTATCAGTCTTCTCACTCACATCTGTACTACAGTCAGTTGCTGTTGCACTGGCCGGAGAAGTATTTGTGTGATTTAAGATATGTCAATTAATTTTAATAATGATTAATTAAAATGGATTTTTCTATGCAATTTGTGACAAACATGAACATGACTAAGCGATACGATATGAACATATTAACTCAGTCCACATACGCCCATTTATAAAATTCAAACAAGTCCATTGATACTTATATTTATTTATTTCCACCTGCCGATACCGCCCCCCCCCCCCCCCCAATCTTAAATTGTAATTTTCAAATAGTTCCATGTTGTCAAATCAAAAGGATTTAGCATGAACTGTGTACATTTGTTAATCAAACACGAAACAACTTACCTTAAACACTCATGTGCCCAGGTCGTTCCATTATGAGTTGTTCGGGGATCCCTTTCTCGTAGAGTTTGGTTGCTGTTGTCACCCTCACGAAACTAATCAACCAGAATGATAGTTGTGCGTCATCCATGAGATCAAGCATGGTAAGAATCTTCTCTTCATTAAGGCGGTTGTTATTCCTCCAAATAGCCCAGTCGCTGAAGGTATTCACCACCCATTTGTTCCTCCGACGTGTGTTCTTGGGAACGGCGTGCTGTGCGCGCTCTTCAATATCCAAGTCAGTTGACAGGAACTTGTAACGGGTATTTTCAACGGTGTCTTCATCGTCACTAATATCGGAATAATTAGACGAAATATCCATGCTTTTGGCAGTCTCCGGTCCAAAAACTTGATTTAAATGCTCAATATTCTGTCTTGCTGCAACCAGTTCATCATTCGACTCACTCGACATCTTGCATACTAGTGATCTTGACTATTCTAAACACCATGTGCTCACAACTGAGTTGTATTTCAGTGATGTGTTTTTGTTTTCGTTTCCTTTTAAAATGTTGTATTTCGTTTAGTTATAGAAATGTAAACAACCTAAAACTATTATCCCATAATTGCAACATTTGTTTTCTTTCAAAATGGAAATTACATGATACAAACTCCCCAAATGTATAACTTATGGCGGTACTAGCAAATTGCGAGAAGTATCCCAACGATGTTTAAAACTATGTCTGAGCGCCAGAACACACCCTCGGTGTTGACGCAGTGCTGTCACTGCATGATGTGCACGTGAAATTTCTGACGTTTGTCATAGTGAAATTGACATAACCATGGCTGCTTCTGCTTTCAAACACGCAAATAAGTAAAAGTAATAAGAATTTTTTTTTAGAAATGTCTAGTCAGTCGTTAACCGCAATGTGTAAGTCAAATAGCAACTCATCCCGTGGTTAATATGTAAACGAACACCCTCTCTCCGCTCGGGCGTTCATTTTACATATAAACCTTGGGATGAGTTGCTATTTACTACGTAGCTATACCCAGTCACGCTATATATCTTGCGATCTGTCAACACCAGGTCAGTCAGTCTGCAGTTTACAGGTCATGGTAAATGTAGTTACTTATCTGATCTTCATATGGAATAATAAGTTGATCGAACATCAGTGATCTATACAATGACACTGCAAGTGAAAACTTGAATTTCACCTGAGATGTAATTGCATACATACACACGGCCACGTCCATCTACACAAACGCCGAAAGGGTACAAGACACCGTCCACAGAAGTGAGTATGTTTCTGACAAACTGTCCCGACTCAGTCAGATGAGCAACAGTATGTTCACCGTAGTCAGTAACCAGGATGTCACCTGTGCTGGTACTTGTGATACCACAAGTACTTCTCAGAGTTGTGTGTCCTGTCGCAGGGTAGGTGAACACAACGTCCCCTTCAGCTGTCAGGCACAAGACACGCCCGGAACTGTCATCTGACACCAGGATGTTATCTGTTCTTGTTGTACAAAGAAAGTCTGGACCATGTATAATTTCCTCCTCACTATCTACAGGGCTAATTGACCTTAGTACGTTTCCTGTCATGTCCAGAATATCCACACATCTTTCAGAACCCGCTGCTAGTGTTGATGGTGTCAGACACGTTATACCCCTGTACTGCTTGATGGTTGTGATGGTTGACATCAGAACAAGTCCAGGGTTGCTTCGCACTGTTACAATCTGACTGATGTTCGGCACAGTGACAGCCACCTGGTCGTGACTCAGCCTTGTTACACCCAGTGGTGCACCTTCCAATTTGAGCTTGCTGTGACCTCGCTGTTTGTTCCAGGTGTAGAAGGACTTCACACTGTTGTTGTAGGTATCTGTGACAACCGCTGTGTCGGAACCATGCACCATCAACACAGTTACGTCACTTACGTATACCTCATTCAGATCTCCTGCTACCCTAACGTTACCAGTGTCTTGTGACACAGGAGCAGCCTTCAGGCCTTCAGATCTAGTACGTTACCAGTGTCTTGTGACACAGGAGCAGCCTTCAGGTCCAGCACGTTACCAGTGTCTTGTAACATAGTAGCAGCCTTCAGATCCAGTGCGTTACCAGTGTCTTGTGACACAGGAGCAGCCTTCAGGTCCAGCACGCTACTGGTGTTTCGTGACACAGGAGCAGCCTTCAGGTCCAGCACGTTACTGGTGTTTTGTGACATAGGAGCAGCCTTCGGGTCCAGCACGTTACCAGTGTCTTGTGACACAGGAGCAGCCTTCAGGTCCAGCACGTTACCAGTGTCTTGTGACACAGGAGCAGCCTTCAGGTGCAGCACGTTACCAGTGTCTTGTGACACAAGAGCAGCCTTCAGGTCCAACACGCTACTGGTGTTTGTAACACAGGAGCAGCCTTCAGGTCCAGCACGTTACCAGTGTCTTGTGACACAGGAGCAGCCTTCAGGTCCGGCACGTTACCAGTGTCTTGTGACACAAGAGCAGCCTTCAGGTCCAGCACGCTACTGGTGTTTGTAACACAGGAGCAGCCTTCAGGTCCAGCACGTTACTAGTGTTTTGTGACACAGGAGCAGCCTTCGGGTCCAGCACGTTACCAGTGTCTTGTGACACAGGAGCAGCCTTCAGGTCCAGCACGTTACCAGTGTCTTGTGACACAGGAGCAGCCTTCAGGTCCAGCACGTTACTGGTGTTTTGTGACACAGGGCCAGCCTTCAGGTCCAGCACGCTACTGGTTTGTTGTAACACAGAGGCGGCATTTAGGTCCTGCATTCCATCATAATAGACAACAATCTCACCCAGCTGTAGATCAACCAGTGCTCTACTTAGCTTGTCTGCGTTTTGTCTAAACATGATTCTGACTATTCTTCCCAACTCATTCTGGTCTACGTCTCCATCAAACTCCACATCACCGGCCTCACATCCCTGATACATCTCATACACATCCACGTCACACTCAGATTGTAGAGCCTGGTCTATCAGGCCAGTCTGTTGTCGGTACATTTGTACTGACATTTCGCCCGTCTTCAAGCCAGCTGCCAGTTGTTCAATTTCCGGAACATCTTTCAGTTCATCTAGCAGTATATTTTCCATTTGTTTTATCTTCTCTCTCGCTTTGGTTCCAAACGACTTGATGTCCTCTTCCATTTTTCCATATCGATGTTTTGCAGAAATGATGTTCACTGTAACAACATCAACTTTTGCTTCCATTTGGAGTTGCTTCTTTGAAATAGTTTCCTTCTTATTCAACAGCTGGGACTTCAATGCAGGTAATTCCGACTCCAGTGTCACAACTGACTCACATTTCCTGTGATAGATAACACAACAGATGTGACAGGTGACTTTCTCGCAATCTTTGCACAGGAATTTGATGCACTCATCCTTGTGTTCAATACACATCACTTTACGTCTCCTGGAGATATTGACCTCAGACCCAGACAGATCAAGTACGTCATGGTGACGAGAGGCTTGAAAACGCCTGTGTGCCCTGGCACATGCTTCACACAAGGCGTCATCGCATGCCGAACACCACACAGTCGCAGGAGTTGTCTCCCCTTCTCCCCGACAGCATGTGCAATCTTTTGCCTCTGCACGAAAAACGGATAGATTGATGAAAAGAAACTAGCAATGAATGTTGCCATATTTTATCACATACACCTGATGTGAATGAGTATTTGTCATATGCTGATTTACCTAAAGCTTAATTTCTGTCAGCTATGTCACACATAAAGAAAATCTCAAAATTTGTAAACATTTCACATATGAAGAATATTTGACAAGTATATATCTAAATGACTGTAATGTGAGTGAATAGTTTGACCCTATCATTTTCATCTGATTATCCTACAGATTTCAGAAGTGGCAATTATGCAGCGGCGCAGCATTCAAGGGTATATATCAGGTAAAAACAACTGATTAAAGTAGCTATCAGTACCCATTATGTTTACAATTACACGTTGTTACACTAAAGGGACCATACACAACAGTGGAACCTAAGAAGAACACTTTTTCCATGTACCTCATGATATTTACAAAAGCAAAGTCACTAGCATCATACAGCAACCCCATGCTATCCCTTACGTAACTTTAAAACAATCAGCGAATATTTGTGTTTATCATACAATGGATAGTGTTCTCGGGAGGATAAAGCCAACGAATATTTTCGGTATCCGTTGGGGTCATATACGGATATCGAAGCAAATTAGAGAGGTCATGGTAACGGAACTGTCAGTGCTTTGATCCCAGAAAATTCATGCCTGGTTATTATTGATGGAGTAGATTACAAAGCGAAGATATAAATTCATAGGTTTACGAAGATACCAACATCAGTTCCCCGACCGACTGTTAGTGTTAGCGAAAGAATGGCACCAGGAATCCAAGTGCACAACGCGAATATTAAAGTGTATTTGCTGTTCAAAAGGTTAATTAAAGGTTTCTGAAGTTCCACGCGAGTTTGTTGGCAACAATATACGTGCTTTAACATAAAAAACTGACTAGGAACTATATGGCGTAACGCAGTCAAATGAGTACCCAGTAGAAAATTGCGTCACCGAGCTTGTGACGTCACGTATTACTACGCACACATTTAATATTAAATCGCATTTTTTAAAATTATAAAGTAAGAATGACATTGTATTATAAAAAAGGTTATCACACTCGTGTGTTTTGGGATGGTTGATATCCTGCATTAGGAATAAACATTGTATTTAGCGAGCCTTGGCGAGATAACCTATATGTCTTTCTTATCTATTCAAGTTGGAACAAACAAGCTAATTGAATGTCGTTTATTACATAGCCAGTTTGAGTATGGTTTGTAGTATTACCTAATTGCTAAGAAGGAAAGTAGCTTGATATCAAATGTACTCAATGCTGTCTGTATCTACCTTTACATCCGGGGCCAAAAGAGTCCACCAGTCCTTGGATGACAAAGCTCGGTTTGACGTCATCCGCCCACTCATCTATTGGTCTCTCAGGGGCACTCACTTTCGTCATAGTGCTGCAGAAAGGACACAGCAGAGACTTGGCACTGATGGCTTCGGGGTTATTTTTGGTGTAGTTGATGACACATTTCTGACAGAATGTGTGATAACAGACAAGGGTGCATTGATTGTCAAACACCTCTGTACATATGGTGCATGTGAGGAAATATTCCTCCAGTTTCTGAGACGTCGCCATCTACAAACAGAAGATGCACGTGAAATACAGAAAAATATCTACACGATAGTAAGTGTTTATTTCAATTTTGTAAATATACAAGCGGTTCCACTGATGAATATATGCATGGCATGTGTTCTGGAGAAGTGGGGAGAAGGTAAACGTCAAATATCAAGGCTTTCTGCAATCAGTATCTTGTGTGCCAACCCTGGGAGTCAAGAACAGCCTGATATCTCTCCGAAAGAATCCATGAAAGTACTAATTAGGGAATGGTCGTCCACTTGGCCGCGACTGTGGTTGAAGCTGTCGCTCATTCTGTGTTTGTCTGGGTTGAGATTTGGTGAGGAAAATGGTCTGAATATGTCGTGTTGGTTGAGCTGTGAATCGTTTGGCTGTTTGGTCTGGTGATATCATGCTGGAATCCACGAAAATTAACCAGATTGATTCTGCTATTGTGTATAATTGGTGTCAACATAATCACACTACTTCCACTAAACACGTGGACGTTCAGTCGACGTCTAAACATCTTCAATCTGCACCATGGGGCAAAATACTTGACTTGTGCACATGGCAACCATGACGTTGTAGATGCGTTATGTTTAACCAATCAATCCATTGGCCATTATCCATCTGATAAAATGTGATACGAAATAATAAGCTTTTTATTTCTTTCGACTTGTCTCTAATGAAAGCAGTTTAGTTATCACCACAGTCGCTTTTAACAGAGCTATGTACGTGTATTGTCACGCAAACAAACGCTGCACTGAACCCAGTTGCATTAGGTAAAATGGACCTGCCCCAATAAACGCAACATCACTAGCCAGTATGAATCATTGCAGGCTTGGTGACAGCCATGGTAGTTTACAGTCTGGAGGCAATGTTCACAGATCGATCCACCTCAGATTAGAGTGTAGATATGCATACACCTGTATATGACGACAACAGAGAAAGCAACACAGCAGAAGGAAGGACTCGAATACAAATTATAAGACCATTACCATCTTGTCGATTCTAAATTTACTAATGATGTCGTTATACCTGTCGCTGGTCATTGGTAGAATTGTAGTGAACCAAGAATCTGGCAAATATCACCCGCATGCCAACTTACCTTCACTTCCTCGTTCCCCCCAGTAGGTGTAGGGGGAGATTGTACCACGTGACGAATACTGGATAGAGACAGGTTAGAGACAGGACAACTACCCGTGATTGAGCTTTTGGTTCTAGGGTCTTTTTGCCAGGGGTCAGATGTGTCACGGGAACAACACGATAATGTAATGTTTTGTCATTGCTTTCATTCTGTGTCTATTCTTCCGAATATTGTATATCCTGATTTCAGAACTTTGGTTAAACTGCATTCCTGAATATTTCGCGAAATCCGTAGAACATAGTGCCGTGGCGGGGTGAAGGTGTAGCCCAGAGTAGGGGACGTCGGGTCGGGTTCGAATCTCAGCATGGGTACAAAGTCCATTTGTGGTGCCTTTTAGCCGTCAGACTGTAGCCATTCACTCAATCAGAGTAAAAGATAAACATGTTTTTTAAATTATTTAGGTCCCTTCCTAGGAAAGTTTGAAAAGGCATTTCGTAATGATAAAAGAAGTATTTAAATGTGACACCAGAGCTGATAAGAAAAGTAATACAAGTGTGTTGTTTGTCAAGAAAGTCCAATTTCCACTGTTAACATTTCCTGTTGACTGTGTTAACACGGACCTCGACCCAGATTGTCCCTCCGTACAATACTAGGTGCATTTGCTCAGAGCGGTTCATAATAAGAATATGTTTAGTACAGGCAACTGTCTCGTGTTAGTATGTTACAGGTTGCATGCTTGGGAAGCACACATTCGAACTATTCCCTTTGTGATCTTGTAAACAACGTTCCAATGGGTTGTTGTTTAAACCTGATCTTTACTGATATCAGATATCTGTGCAGCCATGGAGAGGATACAACCGGGGTTACCCTATCTCTGTACACAATTTCGATATTGAGACCAACTGACTGTTTCGAGATGTGTTTTCTGATAGATCTGTACTGCCTCACACGTTATATGCTTTAGCAAAGTATATGCGTCGTGTCCTAACCTCAAATTAAGCATTATTTATTGTCTCTGTAATTCATCTGCTATTGCTCACAGATTTCATTAGCTCGTTCTCGTTCATTTACAGAACCACAACCAAAGTTCGGCAATCCAATATAATTTAATTTTCCTAACCTGTATGAATTTAAGAACCTTCTAAGCTCAAACGATGTGTCCGTATTAAAGAAGCTGTGTACATTTGCTGCAGTTATACATTGTACTCTTGGACCAAAATGTCGTTAACTGTCATGTCGACGATGTTGCTTGTAATACTGCTGTTTGAAAATATGCTCTTGTACCACCGTTGCAGGTTTTTGAGAATAGTTCAAGCTTTTAAACTGTCTTTAAAACCTATTATCACAGTTTTTATCTGTACCAAACTTCCCTACCCTTGTGCTCCTTCTGTAACGAAAAAGCATGAACTGATGTACTTGATTTTCCGCCTTGTTACTAGGCCTCCTTTTCAATTCAAGTCAACTATTTGTTTTTATGTAGCGTCTCCATTTAACACTGGCGCAATGTCACTACATGCACCACCAATAAATTCCGCACTGCCCCTTTTTTTATTGAATGTGTCACAGCACAGTGCAAATGAACTACACAGTGATTGTTTGCTGAGGTCTTCTACAGGTGACAGGTTGGGATTCAACAGGCAACTAAAATGCTTATCAGAAAGAGAATTCACCAGAAGCTTGAATTTATTCCTTGGCCTATGGACAAACCAACGCTGTATTGGAATCAGTTATTCAGAGACATTCACTTTTATTAAGTTGAGTGCAACTCGCTGCTCACAGTGAGTTTGGTATCAAGGGGGATAACTCTAATTTGGGACGTTATGAGCGGAAGTTGACGGTTAAAAGAAAGCTACGCGGTTTGTGTCATGAAGAGATAATTTTGAAGATTTATTTTGAAGTAAAAAGCAGGTTAAAGTCTATATTCGCCAGGAAAGTTTCACCTGACGTTTCAAATCACTTTAATCTATTACTACGCTAGGTTATGCTTGAGTTTCAGCGCAGTTACATCTATTTCTCATGAATGTTTCATCATGTCGCAAGTGACTTTCATGTATGTGTTGGAACCGTGTTGTAACAGTGGAGTTCTGCATTAAACAATTGAGACTTCGAGTTCATAATCAATGAATACGAAGATGCTTCCCAGCGGGCACACAACGTTGAATCAACGTTGAATTTTGGTTGTTTGGTTGATCAACCTTTCATAAACGTTGATTCAACGTTTATCATGCGACCAAAGAAAGATAGTCGAGATTCGTTTAGTTGTCAACGTTGTTTCAACGTAAGGAACCAACAAAATGTCAACTAATTGTTTCCTTGGCAAATTTGATACATAATTCATATTGGTAATAGGTATCCAACTTAGCAACTATCATTTCGGAACATTATTTTCATAAAAGATCAAGATCGAGCTAGTGACAGATATAATCTTATATATTATTTGATTGTGCATCGATCCACGGACGGAAATATTACGTAAATCGCAGTTTTAGGTATAAAGTCATCAGTTATCCAAATTGCATTACATTCGATATTTTCCCACAAAACTGTGAAAATTGTATAATTCCCGACAATTTGTTTCAAACACAAGCCAGATGTTGACCTTTCGATCACCTCGTTTGGCCATATCCGGACATGCGCACAATTATCGCGCGCGCAAAGGCAGCTGATCGTTGTCAGTTCACTTTGGCGAAGTTCAACGCAATATCGTTCTATTTTCACCATCTTCACGGCATGGTGGTGTTTATTTGGTAAAGTATGTCCTTCATGTATAATGAAAACGTAGGAATGCCGTTTAAATCTAGCAGTAGCAAGAAACTCTGAATTAGGGCTCATGTTTTATCTCACAAGGTTACCGGTATGTCACAGTACATGTTTCTCAAAATTTTGTTTTGTTATTTTTCAATATATTTGCATGCATATATAATTTATTATATAATCGAATAAGATTTCCTTTCGTACCCATCACCTGATTTGAATTTTGCAAATATACATTTTCAAATAATCAATGAAGTACATCAATATAAGGAACCGTTCATAATTAAATATATGGCTGCGGGTGGTGGTGTTGTTTGTAAGGGTTGGAGGGCGGGGTGGGGTGTCACCCATTTTGTTCAGGGGAGCTAATGGGTCAGCACTTTTGTACACACGCACTATGTTTAGAAATTATGGGAAGGGGAGAGGGCGTCATAGATAATGTACATGACATGCAGGGTGGTCCGTCTCTTAGTCTGTACATACTCATACACTTTTAGAGGGGGCGGTGTTATTCACATTGTACATAAAAATCAACATCACCCCAAAGCCATACATTATGAACGGTCCCTAAGGGCAGCTATACAAAATCGGATAGGATTAATCAACATTTTATATTGCATCCCATTATTATGAACATTTGTTCGTTTGAATAGATCTATCAGTAAATGATGCATTGAGCACGCCCTGAACCCTATCAACATATGTATATTATTGGGGTGGGAGGGGGTGGTGGAGAATGGCGTAAGGAAATGCAACGAAAATTTTCACTTTAAAATGTCTTGTGAAAGTCTTTGTTAAGGATGAAATTGTATATAATTTATTTGAACTTTTATTAATCACTAATGATTCTTTGATGGGACAATTAACAAAACTGCACCCACAGACTTTCATTCTTACACTTGTTTGGAAGGGATATGATAATTCATGTCTCTTAAAGGTTAAAATCTTACATACAAAAGAAGTAATTTTAATGTAAGGAACATTTAATTATGAAATA